TTCAACCCTATAAAACTAAACGCAGGTCAAACCAAATAATCAGCTCCACAACCAACAAAAATATCATCCAAATAAACAAAATCCACTATCGCAAACACTCAAACAAGAATTAATCGCAAAGGGGATTACCTTTATTAGTGAAATCAGAAAGCCCAAATTTCCACCAAGAATACAGCTGCAAATAGTAAAAGCCAACGCCCAAAAATTGATCACGGCTTGTGGTTTATATTCGTTGAACTGAATTCGTAAATGTTTTGCGACACAGGTTTGCCTGTTGAGATTGTTCAAACGGAAAGTCCGTGCGAGAGAGTGATTTGGGATTTGGATAATTGGTGGGTTGGGTCGACTTTTGTCCAAACTCAAATTATGATCGATTTGATCAAATTTTAGGTCCTGTTTGGGAGGGATTAGATTTTTCTACAGTAAATCAATTCTCATTTTTAATCACACATGCTTCAATAAAATAATATTTTCCATCACCTCAATAATTTTTTCTTCTTTTTCAACCACACATTTCTCATCATATCACTATTCAAAATCAATTATTCCCTCAAAAATATCTCCCAAACAAGCTCTTAACCAAATTCAATCAGTGTAAATGTTGAAACCCAATCGAATATCGATCAGATTAGATTGTGTTAATCGGTTTGGGACAACTTGTCAACAACGATTAAAATCATCAAATTTTCTATTATACTAAATTAGAAAAATTAAATAGTAAATAAATAAATAAAATTATTTATTATCTTATTCAATTCTCATTAGTCGAGTCTACAAAGAATAAAGTGCATTCTATTTTATTTTTTTAAAGTATGCGAATCAGGTTGGACGGGTTTATTTGATTTTCAAAGGTTAACTCATAACCCGATCCAACACAACTCGCTAAAGTTGTCAAGATGGGCGGGCCAGCATGTTCCCGAACCAGCCCGTGGTTCGGCCAGTGAATCGTGTGGGCCGAATCACAGGCTGCCCGAACCTAAAACCGATCTGAACCAATTCAAGAAGATTCGCCGCTGGCCCGATTTTTTAAAAAAATAAAATAATAATAATAATAATAATAAACAGCGCCTGCAGCAGCGGTTTTTTAATATTTTGTGCTTTCTTTTCATTTTATTATTTCAAAATTTTATGTTAAAATTTATGAAATCTCTTGATTTTTCTTCAAGAAATGTCAATATACATGATAGTTGTTCTCCAATAAATTT